CTTATATCTCATTCTGTTATCTCTATAAATTATAAAAATATATAAAATTACATAGTTATATAATTTATTTGATTATCTGTATATATTATATTTTAATGTATATATTTACATATATTTCATTGATTACATGTATATTTTATAAATATGAATATTTATTATATAATACTTAATAGATTTTTAAAAAGGATAGTAACTTGAATGTTTGTATTAATTTCTTTTTCCTTTATTTGATAGCGATGACTAGTTTGTGACTTTATCAGATGTTTTGAAGAAATATAAGGTTTGACATGAAAATATGCATGACACAAAGCCTGGAATAGGAAATGTTAATTTAATTTAATTTTTATGAATTTTATTAATTATTATATTTACTGCATTACACACTTCATCGGCTGACAGGCGTTTTGATGAATTATAAATAAGAATTTTACTAATTAAATCAACAGCTTCTGGTTCAGTGTCTTCAATAATTTTTTCCCATACTATTCCTTTATGATATGGAAATGTAATTTTATTATAATCAGGTAATATGCTTAAATCTGGCCACGTTTCTGATGTAGGAGAACCTAAGTATTTTAGAACGATTGCTAATTGTTCAATATCTGTTTCTCCCTGTAAATTTATTAAATAATTTAATAAATTAAATTTATTAATCAATTTTAACATTACACAATAATATATAAGTTATTGTTATAGACTGCAGATTTTTATGCATTTATAGCAAATTTTAAAATGTAAAATTGTGAATACAAGTAATGTGAAAAAATGTGTGTAGTGCTTTCTATAATTCTATGAGTATTAGAATTATAAGTAATTCTACAATTCTATACATAAAGTATATTGCTTTTTATAATTTTTATAATGTGTAAAACAATTTCCATCTAGATTTTGCTTTTCAAATTATATTTTTAAAAATATGAATTTGTATAAAAAATTTGCAATCTATAAATGTTGAAATATAGTAAATTAATAAAGTATAAAAATATATCTTACAGGAAATAATGGTGATTTGTTAAGTAATTCACCAAAGATGCAACCAATAGACCACATATCAATTGCTGATGTATAATATCGTGCACCATATAATAATTCAGGTGCTCTGTACCATCTAGTGGCAATTTGATGAGAATATGGCTTTGTTATATCTTTCCATAATAATCTCCCTAAACCAAAATCAGCAATTTTCAAAATACCTTTTTCATTTATTAATAAATTAGCAGGTTTTAAATCCTAGAAATATTATTTTAATGATTTTTTTTTTAGTTGAATAGAATTTTAGATATAAAATTAAAAATAAAATTCTACATATAAATTTAATATTTATAATTATTTTGATATAAATAACGTTACCACGTCTTACTCTATGTATTATATTCTTTCTGTGTATGTATGCGATGCCTTCTAAAATCATTTTTGTATAAATTTTTATTTGGACTGGAGTTAATAATATATCATTGTCTCGTATTACTTCCCATAATCCTGTTGGCATATATTCAAAAACCATTATAAAATCTAAACCAACAGGAAAAGCATCTAATAACTCTATAACCTATATTAAATAAATTTTTTTATGAAATTTATTTCTATATTATTGTAAAGAAAATTTTTTTTATAAAATTACGAATATGTGTTTTACATATAATACAATAATTGAATAAACATACATTAAAATGTTTTAACTGTTGTAAAATTTTTATTTCACGAATAATAGAAATGGATATACCATTATCAATATTTTTTAAAAATAATTTTTTTAACGCAACATTTTTTTCTGTTTCCACGTCGTGTGCTTTTAAAACAATACCTTGAGCTCCTTTTCCAATTTTTCCTGTGATTATATATTTATCCATAATGAAGATATTTCTGAAACAATATCAATTTATAATATTCAAATCATTTTTCTTTTTAAAATTAAGGAAGGCTTATTGAAATTTGTGGCCATAATTTAATGAAAAAATTAAAATCTGAGTACGTAATTAATTTGTAAAGCCCAAACACCGACGAGGTATATAAATAGACATTCCATCTTATGGACTTTCGTGACCTGTGACTTGAAATACCAACACACTAAAAAATCATTGGTTTTTAGCGCACTCTACGTTTAGACAACTGTAAGTTCGAAAACTTTTCACTAGAATGAAAAAGCAACATGAGAGCCATTGCAGTGTTGTCAACTTTCAATATTAAAATGTGAAGCTAGTAACTAACTGAAATCATTCTACTGAATATCAGAAAGAGCTCTATCTATGTTTTATAGAATTATCACAACTTTTTTCAATATATAATAAGTTATAAATTTTAAAATTATTAATACATGGTTTTATGTAATTTTTATTTAACAAAGTCTTCAAATTTTATATATTTTATTATATTTTATTATATACTATAATTTTATTTTATTACATATACCATATATACCATAATATATTTTATTATATATAATAATTTTAATATTAAAATATTAATATAATATAATATTGAAATTATTATATTTCCTCATTTATTCCTTATATTACATATTCAAATTTAGGTTAAATTTTTAACAATTTTATTATAATTACGCAGTGCATTGGTTATGACAAATAATATAAAACAATTACTCTTAATTAAAATATTATTCGAAATTTTTCGATAAATACTTTGTCC